AAACGGTTCGGACGGTTTTCATAAACCGTTCCATCCCTAGTGTATACACGTGTATCTTGGCGTATATAAGGTATATAACACTTCATCTGCAGGGGGCTATGATCAATAGCAAGCGTGAGGGCCCCAGGCCCGCCCCAATGAGCCCAGACTAACACAGAGAACACCAGGGTCCAGGTATCCAAAGGTACCCCCGTGCGACATGGTTGGGCAGGCAGAGGGACAGCAGCCCCCACTCAATGATTTACTAACTCTGGTCCTGAAGCTCTAAATGCTGATAAAAGCTTTAAATTCATCTGTAACACTGAATGTTCTGCTTCATATCACAAAGAACTCCATCAGATTTGTTTTCTCCTGGCAGAAAATTGGCCTTTTGATTAGTTGGTTGTGGGAAATATCAGTTTTTAATCTTTCTTTAACTTCAACATCTAAGATACAAAGTGAACAATCCTTAGCTCAGCGTTGCTGTAAAATGTTTTATTAGTATTTAGTTTCTGAAGCAGTTTGGTAACAGCTCCATACATCTATTGTTTGTTTTTCCAAAAAGCATGTCTGATGTCACCCCAAAGGTTTCCTGTTAGTTATATATCCATTGATTGTAAGGTTGCCTCATATGTTAATGTTTTCAGTCCAGAACCAGGATGATGTTCCTTAAGATGGGTTCAGAGTCTACATGTTAAAATCCCCGTTTCAGAACTTCAGCATTAGGGCTTCAAACAGGCTTTTAGCTAGCTATGTGTATGGGCGTACCTTTACTAATAAAAAGACAAACTGTACATCCTGTTTTTAGGATGTACAGCTTTGCCACTCCCTAATTTTCCTCCGGAAATGTTCAAAATTTCACAAGCAGCATTTTTTGCTGCTCAACGCGCCTCATCAACCAATCAGAGAAGCTGATCTGGGAGCTGGCAGATCTTCTCTCTAAAGGTTCTTAACAAAAATTTTTATGCCTTCTAACTCCACATCAGCAATTGCCAAAGATTTGTTTGGTCAGTACTACAAAAATCTTTTTAAAAGAAAAGTTAGAAAATGTGTGTTTCTAATGCTACGTTCAGGCCGCACGCTGCAGAAGTAGCTTCTGAGCATCTGACGCTTCAGAAACAGCAGCTGCTGGAGTTGGAAAAATTAGATTTTGCTGCGACGCGCCTCATCAACCACTCAGAGAAGCTGATCTGGGAGCTGGCAGGGAGTCAGACGCAGCACTGCTGATGCAGAGCGCTATGATCACTCCTCTGAAACAGTTTATTAACGCCTAAATTAACTTCAAATGTAGAAACCTGCCGGCAGAATCTGTTGGCTTTTATTATCCTGCTGCCTGCAGTTTGGATTAGGTACAGGAAAAATGCTTCTTCCAGCCGCCACCAACAGTAGGGGAAAACCCCCAAGAGGCTAGCGGGCCTGAGGCAGCTGCTGCTGGGGATTCCCAGTGATAATCTTTGAAAGAAACGTAATCTTGAATCCTTCATGTGGACTTTGTCACCTAAAAACATATTAAACTACTTTTTACTCACTGATCACATCAAATACAGCAAAGCTACAGCCGAGGCGGTGAGGTAGTGGGGGCAAGTTTATGCGACAATGGAGGAACATGAGTGCCAAAAAGAGCTAGCCTCGTGAGACCATTCTGATCTTGCGAGCTTTCAAGGTTTCAATCGCTGATCAGTCTGGAGACTCTCCATTGAAGAAAATTTGGAGCCGTTCACCAAACGAACGTCCAATCAGCGTTGGCTTTGAGGCGGGTTGAGGTGTGACGCAACGAGAAGCGTGACAGTTCGGTCTAAAAACATGGCGGCTTCAGCCGATGAAACTAGCGTTAGCGTGGCTATCGAGCAAGTTTTATGGGAATTACAGAGTATTTCTTCACTGAAAGAAGAGCAAAACACTGCTCTGGAGGCTTTTCTCAGAGGAAAAGATGTTTTTGCTCTTCTCCCGACTGGTTTCGGCAAGAGTTTGATCTATCAATTGGCTCCTCTTCGTCGTCGCTCTGTTAGTACGTCATATGCTTCGTTGATCTGATTGGTTTATTTGGCCCGTCTATCACCAACATAGGCCAATCAGCTAACCAGTATTTTCGCTCCTTCCCAAAATTACTTCAATGGAAGGTTTCCAGATGGATATGCGGAGCCAGGTTAAAAAAGAGCGGGGATCCCAGCGTTCTCGCGTACCTCGTGCTTCTAGCATGTCCATCTTCACCAGTTGTTTTCCACAATGGCGGCTATACAAACAAAACAAGCCGGTAAGGAACCAAACAGGAAATACGAATAGTGTAGAGCGGATGTAGATTTGACCAATCAGAGGCCTCCTACAATTTGGGAGAGGTTCACCAGAGTGTCTGCATCTCTTCCTTATGGAATCCACCTGTAGTCAAGCTCGCATACTTCTAGTAATCAGGAAAAAAGTATTGTTGGAACAAAGACAAAAAGTTAGCTGCCTTCCACCTCAAAATGAAGGAAATAGCATTTCAGGGTCTAAATTTCGGTGCTACGCCGCGTAAAGCCTGAAGATGTTAAACACCAAGGTGTTCACCCTATGAAATATTCCTAGCTAAACGCCTTTCAATAATGATTTCTATGATCATTATTATAAATATGCCTGGAATTATCACAATCATTCCCGTATCACGATGCCAGAGCCTCAGTGTTTCAAAGTTCTGTGGTTTGAATTAAATGTTTCAGGGTTTCCTGGGAAACTAGAAGCAAAAGAGTCGTCCTTGTTTCATCCGTTTTTTTAGATTTAGCTCCATTTCTCTGTAGGTTGGTTGATTTGCTCCATGACAAACTCTTCACCGCTGGTTGATTTGTTTAACAGCGGCGCCATCTTGTTTTGGATTGACTTTACATAGATGATCCAGAGGTTATTGTGGACCATCATCAATCCTTCTGCACTATTTGACTTTTCCAGAAGTATTTAAATGGCAGCATTCTGTTTTCCTTCAGATCTTTCAGGTTTTAATTCAATTTATAAGATCATTTTCTGCTTCTTGTCTTAACTCCCCCGTCTCCAGTGAATTAGTTTAGTTATGCTGAATGATGAGTGGAACGACCTGTTATTTCTGAGTTTTTCTGTGAGGGATCCACTATAACCAGCAGCTACATATGCAGCGCTTCATTCTAAGACTGATTATTTTACAGTTTGATTAATGAATTAAATGTGTATTTTATCTGCTGGTCTTCTGTTTCATTAATACTTATTCTATCTACTATTTAAAAAGGAAGGAAAGTTGAATATATCTTTCTTATGAGGAAAAGACTGAACAATTTAAAACAATGAAAAGAGGGGATTGTATTTAGGGGAAGTTTTATTGAAGCAAGGACTTAAAGGGAAGGAAGTGTGGAAGGAAATGGAAGGAGGGAGAAATAGGAAAGGAAGGATAAAGGGGGCGACAAAGGAAGGAAAGGGGAAAGTATATCTGAAATAGCAAATTATTTCTTTATTATATTCGGGGCTTTTCCATCAGCTGTTGCTTTATATTCTGATGGGTTTAATCCAGTAGCTGTTAAAGCAGAAATGCTGAGTCAGCTTTCTGGTTCTTGATCTCTTTTGGGTTTTGAACTTAAATGCCTCCCATCACAGTAAGGTGTGCTGTGTGTTTGCAGCCTGGCTGGGTGGATCTGAGTGTTTTCTGACTTATGGCTGATTTGGGATGGAGGAGCTTGACGATTTTGCTCCGGATCTCAGGAACCAGCTTTTAAAATCATTACTTTCCCTCCATTTTCCAACAACGCACTGCTTGGTGGTGCTCTGCCTCAATAAATCCCAAAGGAAGTGGATGTTTGTTGTGGGGGAAAAAGAAAAAAAAAGTATTTTTTTTCAAGGTATTCTTTTAAAACTAAATGCATATGGAGGTGTTTTTAAAATAAAAAAAAATAAAAAACTAGATTGACTGATTTTATTCTGTTGTTTTTTTTGTGCAGGACAGAGAGTTGCTTCTTGACATGATCGTCCAGCAGGCCTGAACACTGAGCTGGTAAGAATTACACACCGCAACCCCCCTAATTGGAAGTTTAACCTTTACTACCAACAATTTAGAGCTGCTGGCAGGATTCTGCTGTCTGTGAAGTAAAGCGCTCATCTCTGTAGATCAGCATTTAGGCAGAGTTGCATCCTGAGGTTTGGGTTTTATGGGAAATCATCACTATTGCTTCAAGTAAACCTCCCGTCATTCCAGAGCTAAACCAAGCTAGGAGGCTAAACCGAGCTTAGATCCATTTAACCGTGCCGAGTTCTGTTCTTACAACCGTTTACAGATCATGCTAGCACGGTTCCTCGCCTCCTATTGGCGGTCCACGATGCTACAGCTCCCAAGGTGGGAATTACGCAAACAAAAATGGGGCACCTATAACATCCAGGAACTGATGTTTGTTTATATCCGTGATATTTAGTCGTTTAGGAAATGTCAGGTGAAGAAGGCATTCTTCTCGGTCTCTGCATCATGCCAGGTCGCACCACGACCTTTTGATGCCGTTTATTGTTAATAAGCGGAGAAGAAGTTCGTGTTGTGAACCGGTGGAGAGATCTCCGAATTGTAAAGCTGAACACGCCGGAAACCTGTGAAATGAGTCAGCTGACTGCAAATAGGAGACGATGAGCTCTGCTGATGCGCTTTTTGTTATCAGAGAACCGAGCAACAGATGAACCGTGCCGAGCTCTACAGTTGAACTAGTACTAGATTTAGTCACGGTTCCCGCGGTCCTTAAAAAGTCTTAAAAGGCATTGAATTCTTCAAAATAAAACTAAGGCTCCATGGCTAAAACCAGGGAACATCCATGAGGCTCAGTGGATTTAGTGCAAGAAGTCATTCAAGCTCAGAACGATGGGAATTAAGGCAGTGGAGTCGCACATGCGAAGCACGAAACACAAAGCGTCAAAATGGAGTTAGAGAGAAACAGCCGGTATTTCTCAGTTTAGTTCCACCCTTGTCTCTGCAACGCCTCCACTTATCACCAAATCAAACATACTAAGAAAACCATACAAAGAAAAATAGCTGCTAAAAAGACTTAGCACTGGTTATGTTGGGGCTTTAAAACTGATTAGTTTTGTTCCCTGCTAAAACAAAGTTTGTGAATTCAGTTAAATAATTGTTCAAATATATCTGTCATTTGTGTGTTTTTAGCTTTCTTCCTGTATGGGAAGCTTTTCAACATTTGAAACATTAGTGCAGTGGTTTATGTTAAAATAAACCTTTGGGTTAAGTTGATGCAAGCAGGTTTTTCTTGTGTTTCTTGTGAATTTGGTCTTAAATTTTTATTTCGAGTCGCATTAAAAAGTCTTGAATTTAACTCGCCTTATGCTGTAGGAACCCTGTTTAATGCGGTTTGGTTGCGTCTGGCACGGTCCAGTTACACTCAGCCACCTTTGCTGAGGTGCTCTGACCGTTCTCGGCACCGTTTCAAAAGGCTACTGCAAATGGGATATTATATTAAAGTATATTCCTTCTCAAAGTGTTAATAACTTTCAAGGAAGCTTGTTTTCTGAAGCTGCAGCTTTCTGAGGGACATTAATCAGATATTAATGGTGGTTTCCATTTGACCCCGTTTGTTTTTGGGTTGTTATCACCCTAAAGAAAAAGCCTGAGATGAACTTTAAATGGGAAACTTTGCAAATAACCTGATTAATTCAAAGTCTGTAGGAGGTTGTTTTAAACTCTAACACTATTATTGTCCTCCTATTAAAACATGTCTTCTGGCACATTATAGCGCTACATCGGTTCACTTCTGTAGCTGTTCACACTTCTGTGTGGGTCGGCCAAAATGGTCATTCTAATTCTGACATTTGGTGGCCAGAGTGACTCCAGCAGCATCTTATATGGTAAAGCTGCAGGCCGAGAGTATTGACTCGCTGACTGACTTTTAGATAAAAAGTAAAAGATGGCAGAAACTCTCTGCCTTTCATGGCTGGAATCTAAGTGCCTAATATGAGGGGAGACTTTCCTCTACAATCTGTGTTTGTATCAATGATTTGTTAAAAATGACTGGAATAAAATCTGTTGATACTCAGCCATGTTTCCTCCTTTCTGTACGAAACATTACCTCCATCGGATTTGGACCGGGTCTAAGGGGTTCAACAACCACCATAGTCTAACTGGAAAGGGAGGGAAAAGCAGCCAAACTCTGATATCTATTAGATCTTGATTGACGTCAGTTTAAGATAAAAATAAAGATTTAATGGTTGGGAAACGTCAAATAAAATTCCTGAATTTATTATCCCGAAGACGTCTTTGAAGATAAAACAAACTGAGCATTAGGATGTGAATAAAGCTGCGTTTTTTTTTCTGCTGCTAGCGTTAAAAGAGCATTTTTAATCTCTTTTAAGAGGAGGAAGTTAATAAAAAAGATCCGGTTTTAATGGTACTTGAGCATTAATGAGCGTTTCTGCCTCGCTTCCCTCGCCCTGCTTCTATTTCTGTTGCTAACATCATGTTAAAGTTTGATAAGACTGAAGCTGCTGTGTCAACATCTCTGTGCAGAAGCTGCTGCTCTTATTACAACACGCTCTGTTTCTGTGCAAACACATCAGAGGCCCTGAGGGCGATCTAAGAACGGAAGGAACGTAGGAAGTTCAGGCTGATGATCGCTCTGAGACAGGAAGTAGTTCAGCTGTAAAGATAAACCAGCCACACATATATTAGCACAGGCACATTTATCAGACTCCTGCTTTGAGATACTTGCTGCTCTCTACTTTAACTGGTCAGTATCATTTCCTGCATTAGTTTATTTTATAATAGATGCTTCTCAATAAATTATAATATAATCAATAATCAATCTGACTTTATTCTCTGGTTAACTGTAAAGAGCCTTGAGATGAAATGTGTTCATATTCAATTCAGTTATTATTAAAAATGCATTTAATTTTCAGTCATTTCCGGTTAGTTTGAGCACATTAAGTGATCCGGTTTTAAACCTTTATTTCTTTTAATTTGTGCTAATTCTGGGCTTATTTCAAAATATATTTTCTTAGTTAAGTGTAATTTTACATCAGACTAATTTTATGAATCTTTAAAACTGTAACGTCGGCTGTTAAAGTATATATATGTATTTGTACCGTATAGTATGCACCTTATATATTACTGCAGTGTGGCGTTGATGAGATCAACCTGTGGTTCTGCTGAGGTGTTCAGGAAGCCCAGAAAACCACCAAAGCTGAATTAATCTACTAATAAAAGTATTAAGCTCTCATGTAAGTTCATCAATTGAAAGAAACCAGGATTTTTGGATGAAACGCAGCTGCAGCAAACTTAAATTTAACAGAAAGCTGAACGGTACTGTACGGAAGAGGATTAGGGCCACTGAAAAAAAAAACGTAACAGATTTTTTAATTTTATTTCAGTTTAACATGGGGAAAAAGTCAGAATTCTGACTTTAATCTCAGAATTCTGACTTTTTTTTTCAGAATTCTGACTTTAATCTCAGAATTCTGACTTTTTTTTCAGAATTCTGACTTTAATCTCAGAATTGTGGATCTTAATGTAGATGGGCACCATGAAGGAAGAGATGTGGAGCTCTCAGCTTCACTAACAAAGATGGGAGTAGTTTGAGGTTGTCAACAACACATTGATGGAAAATGATGAAATTAGGCAACTTTTTAGTTGCCCAAGGGGTCCCCTCATTAATGGAGGAGCAGAAGATCATTAAAACAAGAGAGCTAGTCTCTAAAACAGACATGGCTTTGGCTTGATGCTAACATGTTTGTTAGCTGTCAAAATTCTGAGATTAAAGTCAGAATTCTGATAAAAAAGTCAGAATTCTGAGA